GGGGGCGGGCCAGGGCGGGGCCGGACGGGGATGGACAGGTCCGGGGCTGAGTTAACGACGGGGCGGGGCTGAATAGGGCGGGAGGCGGGGCTGAGAGTCAGCATGGGGCGGGCCAGTGATTCCGGCCCTGGGCTGAGGGTCTGGGGCTCAGACCTCACCCAGTTGGCGGCCTCAGTCTCCCTGAATGTTTGAAGGGCCACCCTGGCTGAGATGTCCAAGGCCCTGTGACAGTGAGATTCTGAGTTGTCTTCTTGTCCCCACAGTGGTGTCAGACCTGTGTGCCACAGGAGACCATGACTGTGAGCAGGTGTGCCTCAGCTCCCCGGGCTCCTACACCTGCGCCTGTCGGCAGGGCTTCACCTTGAACAGTGATGGCAAGACCTGCAATGGTCAGTGGGCTGGACACAGGCAAGCCCTGGGGAGGGTGGGGAGGGGGGCGGCTTGGCCACTCTCTAGGAAGCCCGTTCGAGCCTCTCTGCACTTTGCTTCTGGACCAATCTGCAAAGGTGATAGATGCCTCCTAGAACTTGGTGTCTGCAGAAAGTTACCTTCTGACTTCTGTCCCTCTTTGTCACGGTGGGTGGTGGGTTTAGTATGGTGGAAGGAGTTACACAGTCTTGAGTTCAACTCTTGGTGCCACTCCTTCTGAGTTGTATGATTTAATGGCTTTTGGAGCTTCAGTTTCCAACGCTAAAGAACAAGGCCAGGAACCTTGGCTTTCTAGAGGGAGTTTTGAGGACAAAACGGGCTGGGATAATCCTCAGTACAGAGTTTGGTGTGTGATGGGTTCCTGACTAGTGGTCAGGGTGAACGACTGGTCCCTAAGCTTCACCTCCTCTCCTTGCTACCCTTCCTAGCCTGCAGAGGCAGCAGCGGCAGTTCGGCCACTGACTTGGTCTTCCTCATTGATGGATCCAAAAGTGTGCGGCCGGAGAACTTTGAGCTGGTGAAGAAGTTCATCAATCAGATCGTGGACACGCTGGACGTGTCCGACAAACTGGCGCAGGTGGGGCTAGTGCAGTACTCGAGCTCTGTGCGCCAGGAGTTCCCGCTGGGCCGCTTCCACACGAAGAAGGACATTAAGGCGGCTGTGCGGAACATGTCATATATGGAGAAGGGCACCATGACCGGGGCTGCCCTCAAGTACCTCATTGACAATTCCTTCACTGTGTCCAGCGGGGCTAGGCCTGGGGCCCAGAAGGTGGGCATTGTCTTCACTGATGGCCGGAGCCAGGACTACATTAACGATGCCGCCAAGAAAGCCAAGGAACTTGGTAGGTGGTGCCTGGATCCTGAACGCCACTGACGGCCAGGAGTACCTAGGGAACAGCTCGACTATAGGTTGTCTGTTACTAGTGCCCTAAACCCAAGTTCAATGTGAATGAGGAGGGATGGGTTTGTCCAACTCTTTCTTATCGGGGATGAGAAAACGGAGGCCCCAGAAAAGTAAGCAGCTTGTTTCAATGGTCCTTTTGTAGGTGGGGTTTGGAGATTTTCCAGTCGAATGTTCCCCAGAACACACCAACTGTTGGAAGGCAACCCCACTTTGGGACAAGCCGGAGTCTCTGTTTTCAACACCTATTTAATGAGGATAATAATAGCCACCAGATGGATGATCATGGGGTGTATGAGGTTACGAAGCTCCCGGTCCAGAGAATCAGTACGGGTCTGACATAGGGTAGAACCTCAGTGAATGTTGGTTTCCTCAAGGTCTTTGTCCTAGGCACTGTGCCTGTAATTCCAGAAGCTGCCACCAGGAGGTGTCTGGTGTTGATCGCCTGGGCATTGCCCAGGAAGCTCAGCTGCGGCTGCCTGTCCCCATGACCACTGTCACTCATCTTGTTCCTCTTGGCAGGCTTTAAGATGTTTGCTGTGGGTGTGGGCAACGCCGTGGAGGACGAGCTGAGGGAAATCGCCTCAGAGCCCGTGGCAGAGCATTACTTCTACACGGCTGACTTCAAGACCATCAACCAGATTGGCAAGAGGTTGCAGAATAAGATCTGCGTGGGTTAGTGAGGCCAGGGATGGCATCGGTGGGAGGGGTGGGTGGGGCTCCGGGGGGAGACTGGGGAGCCATTCTGGAACTGGATGTGGGTGGGGAGAAGCAGGAGCTGGGGTGGCAACAAGAGTTGGCAGAAGCAGGAGGAGGGCTGGCCAGTCTCACTTTTGCAACCAGCAAACATAGGCTGAATGCTTATTACATGAATGGCACTGTTGTTAGTACTCTCCTAATATTAAATCATTCAATCCTAATTGGTAGAAATATTATTATTCCCATTTTACAGACAGGAAAACCGAGCCCAGAGGGGTGGAACAATCGTTAATAACCGGAGGCGCCAGGATTTGAACCTTGCTGCCTCCCCCGATCCTCCCAGTGGTAGAGAGGATGGATTCCAGAGTCAGAGATGCCTGAGTTTGTGCGTTTGCTCTGGCAGGAACTGGCTGTTGGCCAGGATCCCGTTGTTTCACTGCTCGGGTTCTTTATTTGTAAAATGGGATGATTAATGACTTCCAACCCAGAGTGTTGGATGAAGCCGCCAAGATGACCTCGAGGCCCCTAGCAGCAGTGCCCTGCATGCAGTGGGGGCCAGCACGGAGATGCTGGTATTGGAGGTTTTATCAGGGCTCTGTGGGGTTGGAGAACATTCGGAGTCTCCCCGTCCGTCACTTCTGGGAGTTCTGCCTCAGAACCCTACATGTGTCTCTGTCTTCTCAGCTCTCCCAGGCCCCCTGCACTCCCCCAAGACTCCCTAGTCCTGGCCCTAGGTTGTGACCGCTCCTCACTCCCCCTGCCACACCACCACTCACCTTCCCTTTCTCTTTCCCTACTTCCTGCCCACTCCAGAGGAAGACCCGTGTGCCTGCGAGTCCATTGTGAAATTCCAGACCAAAGTGGAGGGGCTGCTGCAGGCCCTGACCAGGAAGCATATCCTTTCCCAGAGGCCACTGAGGGGCGGGGATTGGGGGGGCAGGGCACTGCAGGGCGGGAGAGGGAGCCACGCCCCTTGTGTGTGGGGTCCCAGGTGGGGACTCTGCCTCCTGCTGGAGACAGGCTGGACTCCGGACAGATGGGCTGGCACCGGCTTTGGTACTGATCCTGTCAAAAGCAGAGGCTCCTAGAGGGTAAACAGAGAAACCGAGGCAGAAGCCAAGATCTAGAGACTGGACACACATCCAGAGTCCTAGCCATGCTCAGGAAAACATGGAGCCTGTGGTCTCCCCTTTTCTCAGGCTCTCAGTGACACGAAGAATACCAGTCTCTACTCAGATGAGGCTGGGCCCGGAACAACTCCCCTGGCTCTGTCAGGACGGGGTGGGGGCCCAGGTGGGGGACCCAGCAGGCCTGAAGCTGCCACTGGGCAGGGCTGGGCCTTCAGGGCACACTGTAACAAGCGCGTTTTGGGGAAGGCACCATTCTGAGGGCAGTGACACTGGGGAGGACGCAAGCTGTAGATAGGGTGAGAGAACCCACTGGAAGAGAGGCTCTTGGGAGGTGGGGGACACAGGAAGTGGGGTCCCGAGTGCAGGTGGGACAGCCATCACCCCCCTGCTCTGGTCAGCCTGCGCCTGTCCTTAACCGCGAGTCCACTGGAAGCTGTGAGTAAGCGGCTGGCCGTCCTGGAGAACAGAGTCGTCTGAGGCTGCCTGTCCCCGCCATGGCCTCTCTCTCTCCCCACCGCAAGCACAGGCTGCCGAGTCCTGCGTGTGTCCCCTAGAGCCCCAAGTGTAGTCTAGCTTTGCCATTTCAGTGAGGGGGGGAGGGGCGGGCCCTGAGGGCACCAGGTCTCCCCCACCATCCTGCCAGCCCTGCTGGGTGTGTGTGTGAGTGTGCTAGGTGCCTGGCAGTGTCTGGGAGCGCGAGTGTATGTGCGCGTGCATGGGCATGTGCACATGTGTTAGGAGCGTGGCTGTGTTTGGGAGCATGCGTGTGCGTGTGTGCATGCCTGAGGGCAGGCGTGTATCTAGAGCAGGGATGCGTGTGTGTGAGTGAGAACACAGGGGTGAGTGTGAGAGGGACTGCGTTTGCATTTTTTCAATTGAAAGCTTAATATATTCCTTTTTTTTTTTTTAGTTAACCCTTTCTTGACTGCGAGTGCTGTGAATCTCTTTCCTGATTTTTCTATTCCCTTCTGAAAAACAATTAAATATGATTTAACATAAGCCCTGAATGGGGCCAGAGGCAGTGTGGTCATTCGGGGAGCCGGACGAAGGCCTGGTGAGGGCGGCGGGTGCAGGGGGCCCCTACAGGGTGGCAACAGTGGTGGGAACAGTGGTGAAGGCCGCTACCCCAAATCCAGCGTGCGGTCGTCCTGCCCTTACAGGCTCTCCCTTCCTTCTCCAGCAGCCCTGCCCACAGTGGACTTGCGATGCCCTCATTATACACACGGGGAAGCTGTGTCTGGGTGTTCAGATGACTTGCTCAGCAAAGCATCAGCTGGAGAGATAGGACTTGTATCTAGGACTGCAAGACATCAAAGAAAAAGAAGAGCCATGACAGCAGATAGGCCGATTCAGGCATTCATTCATTCATTCAAGCATGCATGCATGCAGATGACAAACACAGAGCACAGGCCCATGGCAGGCAGTGGGAAGATGGTCGCCTACGAGGAAGACACAGTCCCTGCCCTTAATAGACTTACAGTAGAGTAGAGTGCCCTATCACCCTCACCCAGCTGGGGAAAAAGAGTGGGTTTAAGTTGTAACAGGAGCCTATGGGCTGAGTGTATGTGCGTGAGTTAGAGATGCTGGGAGGGTCCCAGCCGCACCGGCCCTGGCCCCAGGTGCCCCCCCCCAGCCCCACACCCATGTTGGAGTCCTCTCTGTTCCCTCCTTGGGCGTCAGCAGCTTCGCCTCCATCCCAGCACAGATGGCAGCAGCCCCCCACCTCAGGGATGGCACATGAGAAAGTGTCCTGACCCCCATGTCCCCTCAGGCCTACCTGGGGTCTGCCGGCCTCGCCCAGGCCCCTCTGGAGCAGTGCCCCCTGCAATCTCAATCCCTTGTCTCCCAGAGTGGGAGCTTGGGTGATTTGCTGAACTCATTCCTGCATCATGGGGCATTTTTAGTGTTACTACTAGAGTCACACTTGAGAGCCCGTAACAGGCTTTTACGAGAGACTCAGACCATCCTGAGAGGGCTTCCTTAGAGGCAGTTTAAGCAGGCGGAATTACACCCCTGCACCCACCAAAACTCAGTGGCTCAAAACAACCACCTGTTACTGTCATGGTTCTGTGCGTTGGCTGGGCTTTGTGGGGTGGTTCTTCTGCTCCATGTGGAGTCGGCTGGGGTCACACTCGTGTGGGTCTCGACTAGGCTGGAGCCTCCAGCATGGCCCACTCACCTGCGCCAGAGCCCCCTGATGTGACCGTTGCGGGGGGAGACGGGGCTGCAAGGCCCGGCCTCTCTTTACTTCTCTCTCCACGTATGTCCCCAGGGGCTCTCCGGTGGGGGAGCCAGACTTCTTACCTGGCAGCCCAGGGCTTCTGAAAGCTTTTTAGGTCTGGGGCCCCACATTGGCATGGTGTGACTTTTGCTGCATTTTCTTGATGAAAGCAGTTTCAGGCCAGCCCAAACGCAAGGGGTGGGGAGGTACACTCCACTTCTCCATGGGGAGAGAGCAACGAAGAATTGGCGGCCACTTTTCATCTGCCACAGGGGGGCACTCTCTGGTGTCCCATTCTGGCTACACTCCCTGCCTTGACCGTTCGTGATACCCAGGAAACCCTCGCGCCAAAGTGAGACGTACGTGGCTGAGCCCATTTCTGTTCCATGCAATGTGAGAGCCCTGACTCAGCCGATCTTTCACCTCTGTCTCCGACCCACGTGGTGGCCTTGGTGTCCTCGTTCTTGCTCCTCAGTTCTGGGGCCATCCTGGGTTCCAGGACCATGCCTCAGCTGCCTGGTAACTTGGTGGGGGCCCTTCACCCCTCTGGGTCCCCCACCTACATCCAAGACAAAGGATTCTGGCACCACCTCTCAGGTACTGCGGGGTGTCAATGAGGTGGGTGGGGGCACCCAGCACCGGGCCCGCCCACACTTGGCACCCAGAGTGGGGTTGGCATCATTGCTGCCTTCTAGGGGGTGGTTTCCCAGACTCAGGGACACATCCAAGCCTGTCGGTGACTGAGCACCTCCCTTGTTCCCATCTGGGGCCAGTGTTCCTCGGGACACTGCAACCACCTGGTCTCCAGCGGCTGTACCACCCGGGGCACCTGTTACCCGCTGGGAGACCAGAGTGTGCACCGTGGCTCTGGCCCACCTGCGTCCCCCCAGCTCCACCAGGAGGCAAAGACAAGGACAGCCCTGCCTCTGCTTGGAGGGGTGCCAGCACATGGGTGTGCCGCGGCTCAGGGAGGCGAGGCACGGAGGGCGGCGTGAGCCTGCGAGCTTCTGGGGACAGCCAGCCACCTCCACCACTTCGTCCTGCGGCCAGGGATTGTCCAGCACCCGTGCCAGGCCCTCATCCAGACACCAGGAGTAGAACGAGCCCAGAGACGGCACAAGCCCCTGCGCTCCGGGGCTGACGTCCCAGCCTCGGTGTGTTTCTTGCTGTGTGAGCATGGACAAACCATCCCTTCTCCCTGTGGGCCTTAGTTCTTCATCTGTTGAATGGAGAGAGGATCCAGAAACGAGCCGTCAACAAGGAGAATCTCCCGAGGGACGCACGGTGTCACTCAGAGCCCGAGGGCTGTCATTACTTCCTTGATGAAGTCAGACGAGAGAGAAGCGTGCCCGGGGGGCGCCTGTCTGGCCTGGCAGAGACCAAGCATCAGGCTCTGAGCTCCCAGGAACTATCCCATGGGGAGGTGACAGCGGAGGGGTTAGTAATTTGGGGGCCAACAGACCTGGTGTGAGACCCCCCAGGCCCCCTTGCCTTGGACAGACTCCTTTTCCCTCCGACCTCAGCTTCCTCGACAGTAAACAGGGCAACAGCACCCTCCTCACAGTGTTAGTGCTGAGGGCACCTAGACGGGGGGCGGGGGGCTTGGCATGGTTGTGGCCAGCCCTGGAGGGCTCCCTGGAGGAGATGGCAGAGGTGGCTTAGCAGGGGGCCCGGGCGCTGCCCCTGCAAGGGAAGTCTGGAAGGTGAGGGGTGTGTGGGGGGGCGGCTGAAAAGGGGCACATGACTGGGAGGGATGGCCAGGGGACAGTGAAGTCACCCTCCCCTCGTTTTTTCCTTCCTTCCCCATTTACTGAGCATTGCCAGAGGCCAAAGCACACACGAGGCATTCGGGATGAAATAGAAAATGCCCAGTGGTTTCTGGCCTCGTGGTGCTCCCAGCCTAGAGGGGCAGGCAGACATTGGACAGAAAGCCTCACAGGGAGCCCAGCTGCGGTAGCGGGCCTAGGACTTGGGGTATGCCACAGGGGCATACAACAGAGGGGCTTCCCCAGCCGTGAGGAGGTGGAGGAGGCTTCCTGGAGGCCGAATCTGAAGGCACTTTGGGAGTTAGGGAGGTAAAGGGGGCTGGGGAAGAGCGCGTCAAGTGGAGGGAATGGCGTGTGAGAGGGCCCTGAGGAGGAAGGTGTGCGGCCCTCATAGAGCCTGGATGCAGCTGCCTGTGGCGGGGTCCAGGGTGCAGGCCTAGGACCAGAGGAGGCGGGAACTGCACCTGCAGGGTGGTGTGAAGGCACGGGAGGGTTTTAGGAAACGAGGTGATGTGATTAGAAAGTAGGATAGAACTCTGATTAGAAATGCGGCTCATGTTTTTCCCCACAAACACTCGATGGGGTGCGAGGCGGGCTGTGAAGGGACCTCAGCCGGGATGTGCAGGGACCGAAACCTCCCTCTCACACACCCACGGAGGTGCGGTGACCTGGAGGCTGGCCCTGCTGGGTCTTGTGCAGGGCGGCTGATCTCCCTGTCCCCGTGAAGCAGTGACATCCTTACTTGCAGGGAGAGGGGAGAAACTCCTCGGGACGGTGGCCCTGAGGACGCCGGCAAATCCTTCCAGTGACCCTGTGTGATAGCCTTAGTGTGACCTGTTTTACAGGTGATGAGATTGATCAAGTCAGCGCGGGCACCGATTCCTGGGTTGACCCAAAGCTCAGGCCTTTCTTAAAAGCAGCACAAACTTAGCTTTGCCGCCTATGACGAGTGTTAAGCCGTGGGCACATAGTAGGCCCTTGGAAAGTCCCAGTGGCTGGTCTCTTCCTCTGTCCTCCTCCCAGGTGGCCGGCAGGCTCAGAGTTTGGCAGAGGGCGGACCTCGTCCTAGAGGAGCCTGGAGCTGGATCCAGGAGCCCCAGGCAGAAGGGGCAGGGTTGGACCCCCACGGAGGGGCTGGTGGGAGCCAGGCAGGGAGTGAGCGCCTTGCCAAGGAGGCTGGGGGTTGGAGAAGGTGCTGGATGGGGAGACTGATCAGCACCCAGGGGCTTAGAACTGGCAGGCCTGAGGCTGTTGTTGGCCTGGCTCAGGCCCTGGTCGAGGCCGAGCTGGGGTGGGTTGGGAATCTGGGACCTCTGGGGCTGAGCCTCAGGATTTTCCAAGAAAGGAACAAATGGAAGGGGGTATGTGCCCAGAACTCGCCCATTTTTGAGTGGGAGAAGGTTGCTTCCTGTTTCCAACAGTGCCGCCCAAGCCATCCCATGGCAGGAGGGGGGAGTCCCAGGGAGGCCGGCAGGAGAAGCAGGGCAGGTCAACCACCTGGAGACCGGCCGGCCGGCACTGTGGCTCAGAACGGGCTGAGTTAGGGCTGGGTTGCAAGTGACAGAAATACCACACCAACCAGTGTCAGCACGAGAAGGGAGTTGATGGGATCCCCGTGATGGAGGGTGCTGGCAGAGGCGTTGGGCTCGGGGGCGTCTTTGGGCCTCCGGCTCTCTCCCCTCTTTTTTTTTAATTTTAAAGATTTTTATTTATTTATTTGAGAGAGAGAGACACAAGTAGGGGGAGAGGGAGAAGCAGACTCCCTGCTGGGCAGGGAGCCCGATGTGGGACTCGATCCCAGGACCCTGGGATCATGACCTGAGCTGAAGGCAGACGCCCAACTGACTGAGCCACCCAGGCACCACTGGCTCTCTCCACTCTTGACTGGTCTCCACCCTGGTGACCTCATGTCCAGCCAGACCC